GTTTTTTTTTTTAGAACTTTTTTTATTTTTATATTCTTCCTTTTTGTAAATAAAATTGCTATAATTAATATCGTGTTTTATAAATTTAATCTGTTTGTAACATAAAAATATATTACAATTAAAATATTTTATTGCTATTTGTAAATGAAGTTGATATTTGTTATATTGATAAAAGCCTGAAAAGTTTTGTATAGAAAACTATTTTTTAATCAATAAGAGTCATAATTGAATATTTGTAATGATTACGTACTTTGTATTGATTTATAATTAATACAATTCAAGTAGGCGAGTCATTCATTAAAACAATTTTTTTCTAGGACCGAAGCGAACACTTCAGCTTCAGATTATGCCATTCCACTGCATCCACAAATTTCAGATCTAGTTACAGATCCTTTAAATGATTCTAGGAATGGAATAGAATATGGGCCGTTTCTCCCCTCAACCGGAACTGAATTAAATAATCTATTTTCTGATACTGGTGATACTCCTGATGATTCCATCATTGGTAATTATTAAATTCTCAATTGTACGCATTGTGTTTTTTACTTGAATATAATTATGTACATTTATGAATATATAGTTAATAATTTTTAATTTTAACAAAATTCATAATTTGTAACTTACTCTTATTCTAGAAGTAGCTGCACCAGCTGGTGTCTGCGGCCTTCGTAACTTAGGTAACACATGTTTTATGGCTGCTGGATTACAATGTCTGACCGCTACATCGCCAGTGTTACGACATTTTCTCGAGCTACAGCAAAGAGGAGAAAAGTTACCTCCACCTGGCTCATTAATGGCAAACTTTAGTTCATTGCTCAGCAAAATGTGGTCAGGAAAGTATAATGTTCTTCAACCAACCGAGTTCAAGCAGACCCTTGGTTTATATCATTCACAGTTTAAGGATTATAGACAGGTATGCTTAGTAAAGAATATTATATTAAATTGTAGAATGCGGATTTTAAAGTTCTCAATTATTTATCATTATTTTGCATATTCACAGCACGATTGTCAAGAATTTTTAGCATTGTTGCTAGATTCTTTACACGAACAGATGAATGTAGCAAAGTCCAGTAAAAGCTGTCACGTACCCACTGCCACTGTCACTACCATCAGCACTGTAAATTCAAATCAAAATGGAGAAAGAGATTCCTGTTTAGGTGCGACATTTACTGCCACAAGTAATTCCAGTCTTATGGATGGTTTTGATAATCCACCATCACCCGAAGGTCCTAACAGTCCTAACGATACCATGCCCGGTTCACCTAGAGGTGTGTACAATTTTTAAAAAAATTTCCATAGTAATTTTTAAAATTAACCATTAGTACAGTTATTGACGAATATTTTTCATCTAATATTTTCTTAGATTCTTATATGGACGATTTGGATAGTACAGCGAATTCACCTCACAGTTCCCCATTGAATGACGACGAAGAAACTTTAGATTCGGAAGAAGTGATAGATAGGAACTCTAGTTTTATTCCTAACGGTATGCAAAAACTTTTAAATCGCGAAACCCGTCTCGATAAGTTTAACGACATTGCCAAAGATGCGAAAACTAGCAATGCGAACTTTCTCGTGACTCCGGAGGAATGTAATAATGAGATTCATTATGATTCTCAGAAGTTTCCAAAGGAAAATAGCCGTCGAATAATTCTTGAAAATACCAACCTAACGGAAAACCATGACTCTGATAATAAAAGCATTAAACGAATAAAAGAAGTTAACTGCCAACGGAGTAATTGTAGTCCAGAATGTGGTATATCAAGTGGTTCCGAGACTGAATACGATAGTGGTCTTGAAAAATGTAACGTCAAGAGGATGCGATTGGAGGATCAGGAAAAAAATCACAGAAAAGACAAATTAGGCTCAGTTGGATTGCAGTGTTCCAGGTTATTACAGAATCATGAGAATGGTTCCCTTGCATCTCAGGATGAAGTAGAAGCCGAGAAACACTGGGCGAAGCACTTACGAGCGAATCAAAGTGTTATCGTTGATACCTTCCAAGGACAGTTTAAAAGCACGGTAAAATAATACTTCATATTTCTCTGTTTGCATTATTCAGTTTATTAACGATGATCAATGATAATGTAAATATAAATAGATGTATAATATAATCGTATGTTCCCAATTAGTAGACTTGAGGAGTGTTTATAAAAGAAATTATATTTATATAAGCCTCAGAAATACTATGAGAAATGAACAATAAGTCTATAGATTTATGAAATACTTATATTTAGTTTTAGTTTATCAAAGTGTAACGTTTTATGCCGACAAGTTCATAGTAAATAGTTCTTAGTTGCTGGTGCTATGATGGTTATGTAATAATTGAAATTAATTAATCTTTTATTATTCCCAAAAAGTTTTGGAATAAATTATTTTAAATATTGAAAGTTTATTTTGCATGATTAATGATAAACTACAAGGAGACATTTGTCGGTATGTAACTGTTACGATTGGTATACATCATAAAGCGTCTCCGATAAAAACATTCTTTACATTCCTGTCTATTTTTAATAAATTTAAAATAGATTTCAAAGTATCGTAACACATCAATAACATGAATATTTTATAAGTGGATAAATTTATTTTTCGATTTCAGGTTGTATGTGCAATTTGTAAACACATTTCGGTTACTTATGAGCCATTTATGTACCTCTCCGTACCTCTGCCCCATGCAATGGAAAGACAATTCACTGTAACATACATTCCTTCGAATGGTGAACCCTCTATGAGATGTGTTGTTTCATTAAATAAACAATCACGTGTTAACAAACTCAAAGAAGAACTGCTGAAAACACTTGGCAAAGAAGACATACCAATAGCTAGAATCGCCATGGTTAAGGTCTTCAATAATCATATAGCTAATACATTGGTAATTTAACTTTGTAAGATAACATTTGTTATTTATTACTCTTATATAAATTTGTCGATTGCGTATTTGGAGGGTTTAGAAAATAGCTTGCTAGTTAGTGTCAGGCTGCTATTGATACTGCCCTCCAAAAGGAAATCTCTCTTTGGTAGAACATTTTTGTAACCGTCAGTTTTGTTACAAAGCTACATTCCGAAGTACAGATACGTTCAATTATTATCTTTTTAATGGTCTTCGTTTCATTATTTTTATTTTTTATTTATATTTCGTACTATCGATTATGAGAACTGTTTACTACTTCGATATATAATCAATTTCACTATTGAGCACTTTATTTGGCAATTTTAAAAAGTTAAATTAAATTCCAATTTATTTTAAGCCAATAAAACGCCAGAAATGGAAGAGTTAAATCTTATTATTTTTTAACTGAATAGGAAGACAATCAGTTACTAAGAAACGTCATAGATATAAATCGCTCGATCTATGCGTTTGAACTGATGGATCCTCCAAAGCCTTGGATTGAGAACGAACCACCGATTAGTGATCGTGTGATTGATCCAAGCCAAAACAATGTTAGCGATCGCTTGATTGACCCGAGACATAGCGGCAGCAGCAGTAGCAGCAGCAGCAGCAGCAGCGATATGGCTCCTGCAAATTCTAGTTCGGAGGTTCCTTGCGTTATTTGTCTCGAGAACAATGACATGAAGAAGTACTGCAAGAAATGCCATGAATTTCGCATATGCAGTAATTGTATCGAGGTATGAAATTCTTTTGAGAATCTTTTAACACGCAACAATTTCAACATCCCATTCAATATACAGCAGAATTTTTGTTTCATTTTGAAACTAATTGAGCCATTTATTAGTGAGATTAAAATATTTTCGATAAAAGTTAAGCGAAGTAACTAATATAACTATATTAACGCTTTTACATCCCAATGATGAAATCGGCAGTGTTAATCTTGCAGCAGGGGTGTACACACAGGGTACCTGGTTACCATTTTAATCACCTCGGGAAGGTCTGAGAAAAGGTCATTTGACGCTCTAGCAGGGCGATGTTGTAATGGCATGCGTGAGAACCAGAAACAGCTCGGATGCGTCGATAAGCCGGGGATGCTCAACACTCTTTTTATTTTAGAGTTTGAGCGGAGGTGGCGTTTGTTTGAGATGGAAACTCACGTGACCCGCATTTTTAGTTTAATCTGCAAGCCGCATCTATATTTTGATCGGAACTCAATTCAGACTAATCTGACACTGCCGTATTAACTGAGGGACCATTTATAAAAACAATAACTTCACAAATTTCTTTGTTTCATTATTTATTCAAGATTATACGCAGATATTAATAATTTCTCATTAATAACAATGTTTATTATTCCAATTACTTTTTACAATTTTATGCGTTGCTTTAAAAGTTACTCTAATATTTTCATGCGATATTAAGTGCTATTACGAATTTAAATAGCTTTCTCGTTTCTTTAAAAATCTACTAAATTCAGTCAAGTTAGTAAAATTCAAAATAAAAATTAATTGTAATTTTGACTTGGATTTATGAAATTTATAGCAAGCTTTATTATTATTATTGGTATTATTATCATTCTATAGATTTATTATAACGGTGAGGTCGTTTATCGTGGGCTTGAGATCAGATTTCCCCGTTAAATACTTAGCATCGTTACGGTTAATGCGCGTCAAAATTTAATTCAAAGTAACGTTTGGTAAAGTTCGGGAATCGATTGGTGTGAAAATTAATAAAATTCAAGACAAAGTATTGGCTAGACGATTATTATAGCTACTTATATGCCAATAAGTGGACAATGAAAATCGATAATAAATCTTGACTTGCTGCTTAGCACATGTGTCGCCGTATATTTAAATATGGGCACGCGATTTTTTCCTTTTATGTAATTATGTGCGCATTCGTCGTTATGTTTTGATTAGTTCTATATAAGGAGCAACGACCGCGCATTGCCTGTTAAGATTATTGCAAAAAAAAAAATAAAAAAAAAATTGTATTTAGAAAAAATTAATATTTTTTCCACGTCACAACGATAAAATTTGTCAAGTGCATTTATTGAATTAATTATTAGCGAATGCTAATTTGATGCTACTGATTAATAATTACTTAATAATAATAATTATAATGTAAAAGTATAAAGTATATTGAGAATTTGTTAAATGGAGTAAACATTTGCTATGATTTTCCGAAGAATTTTTCCTATTTTAACATTCATCATTGTTGATCGAAGTTAAATATAGTAATTTTACCATACTTTTATTGTATTCTTTGTTGCTTTCTTATTAAAATTATTAATAAAGTCCTATCAAATACATAAATATTTGACGCATTAATTTAAACGCATTATCGACGTAATTTATTAGCTAAAGTTTACCGACTTAACCGCGTTAACTTTATTTTTCGTTCTAATCTATTTCAGAAAACCGTTTCATTCCATATCGTCGGCATTTCCTTTGTATTCTTATTCTCTTATCAGTTTTTTCATTGACCGCGTAAACGAGCAGATCGTTATTACAAAATTATTGTTACAAAGTGCATTGTCGTCTACGCAGACACGCACAGAATACGCACGGGAATAGCGACGGCCTCGCTTTTTATTAAAAACGTAGATTAGCGAAGTTAAGCCAAAGCTCAGAAACTCAGCAGGTAGTACGTATTTCCTCACAGGATTATTTGAAGAGCGAGAAGGCGCCCAATGAATGTCCACGCTGCGAAAGTGAGCTGATAATCGTTTCGTTCATGAAGATCGACCAGTCGCAGCGTTTGCGACCCTGCGTGAGGATACTCAACGTGCCGTTGGTTATGCGACACGACACGAACGAAGCCACCAACAATCTCAAGGGCACGAAACTCTTCGGCCATCCGCACCTCATTAAGTTGCCGTCGAGCGTCGATGCCCGAGACATTTGGGAAACCGTGAAGAGGGTCGCGCCGCAGAATTCCACCTATACACTTCATTTTGTCGTCGGAGAGGTTTGTATTATTTTCTTCACCGAGAAGAAGCCTCTTCTCCTTCTTAAGAATTTGACTCATTTAAAAAAGCGAGTTATGTTTTATGGTTTATAATTATTGTGTTATTGGAACACGGTGGGATAATGAAAAAAGTTACGCAGTGCAGGGAAAGTAATTAATTGGTCGTTGGTATTGTTGAGTGTACTGTTGTTGGCTCGGTATTAAGAGATTGTGGAAAAAATAAAATGGATAAATAAATAGACGAATTTGATTTCGAAGGATTAATGTAATTTCATGTTATCGTGTTGACGTGTCAGCTGTTGGATTGTAGATTAAAGTTGACTTGTACCAAACCTCGTAATAGCCTTCATTTTCATATGCTGAAAGCCAATAAATATGGAAACAAACATTTGAAAGCTTTGGCACTTTAAATTCAAGATAATTATGGATAAAAAATTGTATTATTTTATAATGTGTTTATAAGCATTTTTTTTTTTTTTTTTTTTTTTTAAACTATGCTTACATTGTTAAAAAGCATATTTTAATGACGATAAAATTGGAAAATGGTTGATACGAGAATAGAAATTTATTGTAGTTTAACAATTAAATTGTTTAAAAAAAAAGTCCTTCGCACAGTGAGAAATTATAATGATACTTTACTTGATTGATACTTAGATTGCTCATCCACCCTATGTGCTTAGCAATAAATTAAATTTACAGAAAAATAGTCAAAAAATAGTAAAAAAATTTTTAAATAACAATTTTTTTTCAGGGTAATCGTTGTTCTCGTTGTGATTACCCATCTCATTGTATGGGCTGCAAGGTGCCAGAAAGTGGTAAAGTGATTCTAAAATCTGATGATACGTTGGCAGTTCGGTTTGTGGATAACGTTCCTAAAATTCCGAAACCCATCAATCACATCAGCGTTAGCAAACAGAGGCCGCATCATCCATTGTCACTGTACGATTGTTTGCAGGCATTTAGTCAAAGGTGAATAGAACTTCGTTGATTAAGCTCCCTTATAATTATGTCTTCTCATAATTTTTTGACTTTGGATATTGCATTAAATATATTTTTGTTTTATTATTGTACTTTATATTTAAAAAAAAAAAATTGAATCATAATATGAGAATTATAATTTTGAACCATAAGTCCATATAATAATAATTGCAGCAATCAATGTAATTGTTTTATAATAACAGTAAATGTAAACCATATTTTTTTTTTATTTTTTTTTTTTTTTTGTATAATTTAATGAGTACGTTATATAAGTTACTTCTAATATTCTATTTTGCTTTTTAATTTAAAAGTGAAACTTTGGATGAGCATAATCCTTGGTACTGTCCAAAATGTGAAAGAAATCAATGTGCTACTAAGACGTTGACTGTTCATCGATATCCTAAGTTCCTTATAGTCTATCTAAAAAGGTATGTATTTATTGTTTCAAAAATATTGAATTATTGAAGTGAAAATTATATATAATCTAATGTCTACGTCTTTTGTTAGATTCGTTTTCTACGAGTGCGTGAGTATGAAACTTGACGACAAAGTGACCTTTCCCTTACTTGGATTGAACTGTGGCAAACACCTTTATGATCTTTATGCCTGTGTCTGTCATTTTGGTGGTAAGAACAATTAAATACTTTAAAACTTTTGTTTCTACATTTCGATTATTAAAGTAATTATCTCATTTAAAGTTCAGAATTATATATAATTTGGAGTAAATTTTTTTTTTGTATTATGAAATTGTAACGCCATAGCTTATTAAGAGGCAAATTTTGATTTTTTACAGGAGTATCTGCTGGACATTATACGGCCTATGCGAAAAATCCTCAAACGGATACTTGGCACTACTACAATGATGACGTAACGAGCAGACAAAAACCGCAGGATGAAGATTATAGTAATGCTTATATTTTGTTTTACAGTCGGCAAGGTGCTAGTGTAAAACAGTGCAATATTTAAAATTCAACAGACGGAGAAAAGCGGGAGGGAGGGAGGGAGAGAGAGAGAGAGAGAGAGAGAGAGAGAGAGAGAGAGAGTAATTGATCACATCAAATGACTGAACAAAGAATAATTACCGTAGTTAAGACTTTAAAAGATCTCACGGTAGATCTTCAACTACGTAAAATGAAACAAACAAAAACAAATGAAAATATCTTTCAAATTCGTTGGCTGTGTATAAGATATAGCGAGATTCGGTAAATAATTCGCTCCATGATACGTTTTTTTATTTTGATAATAATATTATCATTCGTCGTAAGTACCGGTAGCCTTCGTAGAAAATGATGCAAACTTTTAATTCTAATGATGCAATATATTTTTTATCTTACTAGATGAGTTATATATTGGAAATGTGCATTTCTTGTAGATTGTATAATTATTCAACTGATATTTCGAATGATAAGTTTACCAAATATTAGAGTGCATGTGGATATATAATTTAATTTATATTTAAATATAATTATGTTTAAATAATATTGACAATGATAAGTTACAACTTCCATTAAGAAACATTACAATATATTTTGATCTTGTTTTGTTATTGAATTACGTAAATATATTTTTAGACAGATAATTGATGAGTTCTTTAGTAAAAAAAAAAAAAAAAAGAAAAAAAAAAAGAATTGTTTCTTATTGTAGCCTTGATGTGATTATTTTTTCTCAGCCTTTATAAATCTTGATTAATGAAAAGTCGACCTTATCTACGAAGTAAATTTGTATGTTCTATTTTAATGTTATTATTTGTTGGAAAATGTAGGATATTTCTATTTTCAGACGTGCATTTTAGAGGTTTCTGCGAAATTATATGATGTGGATAATGGCCTTGGGATGATAGATTTTCTTTTAACCAGCAATTTATAACTCTGTCCAGATGCCCAGATAAACCTGCCGTGTTTTATGTTCAACCCACTCGTTTGGTATAGATCAGAGTTTATATCGAGAGTTTTCCACAGGTCGGCTGAAATTTCATTTCCAATCGTAATTCATCATCTAGTATTTATAATTTTAATAGGCATTTAATTTTTATAATAATATGATTGGATAATAAATTCTGATGATGTGCGTTAATTAAATTTATAATAAAAATAATAATTAGCGTAATAGAAAATGAAATACAACCAATAAAAGCTTAAAGAAATTCATATTTCACATTTCATATTTTACGTAAATATGATCATTTGACTCGATATTTTCATAAACGATTAAATTGTTTCAATATAATAGAACATAAATAAGTCAATATTTCTCTATAATAAATTATTATAATTGAAATGTATTCTATAAATCTTATTATGGTTGCTCGATGGCTTTAAAATTTTTATTAAGGAAATGCTTATTTGTGGTAAACTCTAATAACTAAAGTATTGAGTCAAATTTTCAAATACAATATTTTCAACGAGAAATCTTTCTTGCTCCATTTATTTAGAAACTAATTTCTGAATGCACTTGTAACTAATGCTAAAAAATAGCATTTGTAATTTGAATGTTAAAATCGACACAATAAGACATTTTTAATTAGTTTAAATTAGTTTAAATTTCTCTCATAGTCACGTAAAATAGATAAAATCATACAGAATACCATACATACGGTTATAGTGTCATTTTATAAAATAATTTTAATATTAAAAAAAAAAGTGTAAGTATTAATAAGAAAGAAATAATAAGTAATTAAGCTTCCTACATTTTTTACGACAATATAAGACTTGTGCACTTGAGAATAATCTCTAGCAAGTTATTAAGTCCGATTAAAACAATTCATAAAAAAATTACCTATTATCGTTTTCGAGAAGATATAGCGGTTGAATGCTTATTTAAATTTAAATTTAAATATAAATAATTGAATCAGCACATGAAATAAATTGTGGTAATGTGCGTGAAAAATGTAAATAGAATTTTGCAACAAAATGCGGTAGAGATGTTAAATGTTGCAATAAGGAAATATGTTCCAGTGTTGTTAAAGTGCATTTTGACTGTAATAATATGAGATTAAAATTGTTAAAGTTTACTACTTTCTAATGATGATAGGTCGTTACTTTATGAACGTGTCTAGTAATTTATATTACCAAGTTAACTGTTATTGTAGATAAATATACGAGCTACCGTTACTTTGCCAATTGAGGAAATTATTGAAATCAGTCGTTTAAATCATTTTATCCAAGTATTTTATTTTTCATTGCACATTAATTATTATATTTATTATACGTTGAAGCATTTTATGAAAATAAAACGAGTATTTTCATTGTTACAGCTTACTCAACTTGAATATTGTTACATTTCGTCTCACTAGGTATTTCTTATAAATTAGTTAATTACATTTTTAGATTTTATGTTTCATTTATCTTATAATTGAGATTTAATATTTCCTTATCGTCTGTTGGTAACATTTTATTCTTATAATGACTAATATCAATACAAATGAAGTTTATCATTATAATACAGCACTAGGAGTGCTTTACACGCTGAAATTGTATTATCGATTCATTTCATCCTGAATGTGATCCAAATCTGTCAGGTTTGAAGCATATTGGATGCCTGAACGTAGCATGTCGTGTCCGACATTAATTAATTATTATTCAACACCAGTGGAATATATATATTTGGACCATCTTATGTGTTAACTCATATCAAAGTCAGTCAGGACAGGAGCGATGTCGGAGAAGCTCTGTTAGAATAATATTATTCCGCTTAACTCGTGTAGAAATGACATCTTCTATTGGAATTGTGCAGTGTACGTTACCGAGCATAATTTGTCTTGGGACTATGAGCATTATTGCATTGTTTGCCCTTTAGATTTGGAAGTTTGCCATAATTTAGAACGAAATTAAGTTCGATTCACTTTAGCAGAAAGGAATAGAAAGAAAGTAGACTTGGCAACAACGAGTCTACTTTAATCTCGGGGATATCAAGTACCAAACATTTCTTATTGAACACCGTGAGTGGCGGACTCGTTTAAGAATTATTACTTTTGTCTAGTGCTTGTCACTGCAAGATTAATGGAGCTTTCTCTTCTTAACAGGTTGTAACATTTGTTTGCCTCTTACTTGGATGATCGGTTCCACTGGACCTAATATTTCATTAATAAATCTATCAGCAATATATAGTGACATAAGGATTTTGTCGATACGACCAAAACATTTTTGCTATGTTGAAATGGAATATATTGGAATATATATTTAGTATATCATAAGCATTATTTATACTTCGAAATTGGAACAAGAGTCATAGCTCCAATAAATGTTTAATGAGGTATGGTATTGATGTTCCGAATTCCGACTTCGCGTAAGGTGATAAATGAAGAAAAATATCATACACGCTTTATTTCGAGCATTATCACCTTAATTTTCATTTATGTCCTTGTTTGATTAGTTTTTGTAGTTTTTGCGATAGAAGGTCGGTTGATTAGAATAAAGTTTTTTTTTTTTTTTTTTTTTTTTTTTTTTTTTTTTTGTTATAATTGTACGATATGATTGATGTATTTACAGTCACCAAAAAGATCAAATAAAACGTATTAATGCTGAGAAAAATATTCCGTTCCTGTGTTTTGTACCGATGAATAATGATGTTGTTTCATTTTGCTGAGGGAATTTGTTTTTAAATATATTTACGGTTATAAATTATTTTAAATTTTAATCTCAATACGACAATATTTGATGAACATTTTATTCGATTATTTGAATATAATATTTAGACACTATGATGTAAAATTATCTTATAAATTACTGTTTTAATAATTATAATATCTAGAATGATGAACATATATATTAAATTAGTAAATATTCGAACTATCGATAAGATAACGAGTATATTATTTCATTGAAATTAGAAGTTGATGTATTTAAACAGGGCAACGCTTTCGTTTTTAAGGTCTTCATTTATAATAATTTGCGTAGGTAAGAGATGAACTTGTTAAAGATTTCAGAAGACTGGTTAAATTGGACAAACTTGGACTCGAAACGTGGAAGACAAAGTTTATGTGAGCATTTATGGTTAATATTTATACACACGAAGTGTGAAAGAACTATAAATGTAGATACGAATTGATGGATTGTCGGAACATTAAACAAAAAGATATAAGTATTTGGCAAGATTGTGTGTACAGTTATTAAATGTACTAAACATAAATTATGGGAGTACCTCGCGCACTGTTCCTCTATCGGTACCGTTAATTTGTTTAATTTTTTTTTTATTGTTTTTTTTTTTTTTTTTTTTTTTTTTTTAAATTAGTTAAGCGATTTTAGACAATTTTTATTAAAAATGGGAAGAAAAAGTGCAATAAAAGCAGGAAAGTTCGTTTTAATGCGAAAATGTGAAAATATCTAAATGAATTTGTACAGTAGATAAATAAAGACTCGGCGATCCTGAACGAGCATAATTTATTAGAAAATAAATGATGAACGTTAAACATTTTTAATTTATTTTGCCAAATAATTTTAACCACTCCTCAGCTTTTGATTATTTCGTATATTTCTTTGTTTTCTTATTTTTTTTTTTTTTTTTTTGTTTTATTTAAAAATTTTGGGTTATAAATTGAATGAAAATATATGTATCGTATGTACTTTTATTACAAGGAATGCATCTTAACAAATACACATTAATATATATAATTATTGTGTCATTATGAGCTAAATCGCATTGTAATCTGGTGAGGTGATCTGTAGTTAATGTTAATCTCAGTTGAAACAATTTTTATATTTCTTATTTAGCCTGAGAAAACGTTTATAATTACTATTGTATTAATTTTAATATTCTAGTCGTCAAAAAATTATAATGCTTTCTAATGAAATTGTTGAAATTCTGAATAATTTTAATAATTTATTCTAAAGATTCAATTTGTCAATGGAAATTCTAAAGAATAATTTTTAGCTTTAATTGTTTATTTACATTTTTGTTAATTTAATCAAGTGAAATTTTAATTGTATAAATAAATGAAGAATAATGAAGAATGGTAATATTATTACATAAAATAATACACATAAGTAACAATTTTGTATGATTTATTAAGCAATGACTAGACAAGTTCACAACATAATTTCTAAACTTAGATACTTATCGGGAAATTTAGTTAGGAAACTGTTAGGAAAAGTTGACATTTCCAAATGAAATGACAACTTTATATAACAGACGAATAATCTGTTATTTTTATTTTTGTCAAGGATAATAGCCATTCTATGTGGCTTACATTATACGTATAAGTCTTCCCTTTATAAATATATAACTTTGGTATCTGTTTTATGCTAATTATACAATATCAATTGTTTAGCAATGCATTTTATCTAGATGGGCGAAGTCGCTTGTTCTAAACAAAATTAATCTTGTTCTATTTTAAAAGGTTTATACCATTTCATGAAATTCCTTTGCTAGTTTAGACTGTCGGAAAATTTGTAGGATTAATAATTGAGTGTATTATAACGTGACGACTTTCCGTTATTCAGCCTTTTCTTTTTTCATTAAAAACTTTTACAAGTGGCTGATTATTACGCATCCTGATATGGATTGTAACATTAACAAAATAACTCTTCGCTTCTGTACACTCTGCTAATACTAGCTGGTATTTATTATTTTTTTTCCCCTTTCTTTTTATCTTCATTTTATGTTATTATATCACCACTATCCATTTTTTATCTTTATTTACCGCCTTCTCTTTCTCTTATAAAGAGTTTTATTTTTAATCTTATGAGATCGAGAGCTTGGTTTCGATACATTATTTTTACTTTATTTTTTATTATTTATTTATTATTATTATAATTTTATTTTTATTTTATTTTATTTTATTTTATTTTTTTTTTTTTTTGAAAGATATTGTATACTGATTTATAAAATTTTTCATTATATACCCGCATAATTTCATCAAATCTTTCTTTAATAGCTTTACTTTTAATCGCCATTTGAAATACATTAATTTTGCACTATATCCTTATTATTAATTAAAACATTAGATGTCGAAAGAAGCATATCAACTTGAATTTATGAATTAAAATAAAATCAGAGATATAAATCATTAAGTGTATAAATATATAAATAGTCTATATTTTAATGTAAATATTAATTGCTAAGTTTATAATGTAAGTTTAAGTAATATATAATAAAATTATTAATTATTCTACATGAAGGTAAACAGCGAATTTGAAATGTTATTGTAAATTAAATAAATAATTATATCTTATTATAAATAATATTGATAAAAAAAAACATTTTTTCTTGTTTATAATGTAATATAAAATTTTTTTTTTTTTAATCACAAGGTCAATAAACGGTCTAATAAAGAAATGGTAAATTTTTAAATTATTTATATTAATTTTGCACGAAATAGAATGAGCAAATTTTTTTTAATTTTAATCTTCTCAATTATGAAAGCAGGTTAGTAAGAAAGGTTATCTATTTAAAATATTTAAACGTAATTTTGCCAAAAATATTAAATATGTTTTAAAATTTAAGTAAAGTAATGCTGCTACGAAATTGATAAATTCAACATTCAATTTAATCAATTCCATACAATATTCATTTGTATAAAATGAAAAACCAATCAATCATGTTACGTATAAAATAAATATTTATCGATTTGGTTAATTTCCTTTAGTATTATTGTATGGAAATATTTAGAAGAATTATATTTATCTACGGTAGTATACAATACCTTTCAAGATTTATATTTCTTCGTCTCTCTCCGTTTTAATTTTTTTTTTTTTTTTTTTTTTTTTGTTTAAAAAATTTGTATCATCAACAATTAACAAATATTTGTTTATGAGCAAATATAAAATTCTCGTATGTCAACGAGTTACAGGGAAATATGATGTTTTATATGTTCATTAAATAGAACATTGTGTAATATTTTTTTTATTTTCAACCAATGCTAAAAATATATACTTTTTTTATAGATTGAAAATAATTTAGAATAATATTACAAGACTAAATGAGAGAGACGAGGGACGATTTATTATATAATGATAATATTACATATGTTTTCATCAAATTTCAAACAGGCAATTCTTCATAAAAATGCTATAATTAACATTTTCATATATCTATAAATATATTCGTAATAATACTACATTATCACTAATTATTGTGTATGATAGGTCTTATCAAATATTTTTTATGAAAAATTATTCAAATAATAATATAAAGCCAACTGCTACGTGATTTTCTTCTCTAATGCTCGTAATTTTGTCTTTAGACTTATGCACGTTGGCATTATTAAATTCAGCGAGCCCTATTAAAAAAATATCTAAATCTGTAATTTAATTTTAATTAGTCATAAAGATTAGGCATGAAATCGAATGCCTATTCATTATAATTTATTGTTTGAATTATCTTACTATGCAAATAATAAAATTATAATTTTTTATCAATTTTCTTAAATGCTGCATTGAACTGTATTTTATCAACATTTTAAAACTCAGCACACTATATATATTATCATTATTACTATTATTATTATTATTATTATTATTATTATTATTATTATTATTATTACTATTATAAACGAGTTGCAATTAATCGTTATGTTAAGTTGTATATTAAAACATTAAAAGAGTAATTTATTTTCAAATTACTGAATTAGGACTAAATTAAACAAATGCTTGAAAAAATCCATTTTGTGCACAAATTAGTGCCTTATGCGTCTTATATTTAATTAAGTTTATAATTACAAGTATGAACACAATCTCATAATCAATGTCTGAATATTAAGAAGAAAAATTAAGAGCATTATGATAAGTAAGATAAGGTTTCTAAAGTCCCGTGGCACGAGCGCTCTAATATAAAATTCGTGAAATTTGCTTAAAAATATGTGAAATCTTAACATATTAGAGGAGTTTGTTTATCATTAAAATTTCAATGTCTAACTGATTAACGTATATTATGTTTTGACATCTATTCAGAATAATAAATTTATTAGCCGAAGAAGCCCAAAACCTACAATTATCAAATTTAACTTAAGCACTTGCATTTATTTTAATTGAGCATTTAAAAATTTATTTATAATATTAAACGGAGAAATGATTATGATCTTGATTGTAAATTTAGCTATGACTAAAATGGAAATATAATACTGTCGGATGAGGATTGAAATGAATTTTAATTACAACAAATGTTTCGTTGCTTTAATTATAGATCTTACCGAGTCGTTTAATTTCCTAGTGGCCGTATTATTTTTACAATTGAACGTAAAGCGTAAGATTACTATCAAATCGAAAAAAAAGTCTTATTCTTTTCTTTCATAAATAATATTTTTGTTGACTCGTATTATTTTAACGATTAAATACCAAAGAGTTGAAAGGACAAAGATCGAGAGAGTTTTATCAGATGACTTGAATAAATGGATGATAAAATGAGTAGGTTTCGGGCCCTCTGACATTACGTCGAAAGTCACGCAACTTTTCTGCGTTTGCAGCGTCTCATCAGCGTTTGCAATTAAACACAAATTTTACCTTAATTTATCAATATTAATTACCGAGACACTTATCTATCATTCGGTTACTTATGTTTTAATTACATTTAACTAGAAGATCTAACGATCATCGGGAAAGTAAAACAAACAGCAAACGAATAAAATAAATGTCAATTTACGTCTTCACTTCCTTCAACTCTTCGTTTCACTTCGCCACTCTATGAATATCCGCCTGGGAGAGTCGCGTCTTCGTGCGCATTGCACTAGCTGACCGACGACGCATCATCAAAACTAGGGATTCTGAAAGCTCGCAGGCGACGGTCGATCGTTCGATGGGTCGTCGATGCCAAGCCGGAGCCCACCTATTATATCGATAAAACAGAATCCAACGATTGTTGGGGCTGGAATCCAGATGACATGGAGCGTGCGTCGTGGATGCTTTGGTCCGGCCACCGCGAGCTCCTTAATGCGTTGCCACGGTGAACCACACGATCATGCTCGGGTGCTCGAGTCCGCCGATTTCGCAGTTCACCGTCCGCGTCTCGCCGTTGAGCACGAAGAGGGCTTCGCTCGACGGACTGACCATGTATCGACCGAAAACGCCACTCTGGACGATCGGCCTGTTGGGAAAGCCCCACTTGGCGAAGCTCGCTGGCATTGCTTTGCCCACGCCCGTTATCATCTCCACTTTCCCTGGGCAAACGGATAGAATTAAGGCGGATTCTGATGTGCGATGCGAGTGTGCCCGTTATCGGGCTCTCCCATATTTTCTCGCTTGCCATTAGATTATCGGCCTTGGCCTTTCACGGGATGCTCCCGCGATATCGCCGCGATCTTTGGCTTTGGAATTCAGCGACGTTTTGGCGTGCGCGGATATGTGGATTTGGATTGCTCGGCGAGAACCGACATTTTGACGAATAACTCGAGTACCGCGGTCCCAACCCGTTGGCCATCGTTATTAGAACGAAAGGACCTATCGGACAGTTAATAACGTGGAAATTGAATAGCCGATATCCAATACTCCCTTCGTTACGTCCAGATGAAATTTGTTCGTTTATCTATCGATCTATTAACCTCGTATAATTGAAATTATTTTACTTATACGAGCAAGTAGATTATTTTGAAAAGTGACTGCCGTTGTTAGCTGGGTTTCTGCTGGGAAACGCGTGCGTTCATTATATCTGATCAAGGACTAGGCTCTGCCGTTCGATAATGCGCGTAAGCTAATGTTCTTCGAATGCCGTAAATGCTCGTTTCAATCGGAATATCTTGCATCGCGATGCTACATTATCGTTGGAATATTTTCTAAAGTGAAATATCGTAAAAGCGAAAATGGGCGCTCAACTTTTAATTAATAAAGTCATTAAAAATTGGAAAGAAAATTAAGAAAAAAAAAAGAACAAAAATAGAAGGAAGAGAGTGAGAGAAATTCCTTCCATGACATTTACCTGATGCTAAATTAAGAAATAAAATATCTTCCTTATTATCCATAGATGATGCGTAGAGATCATATCCGTGTGTTGTTTGAGATGGATAAAAGGTTATGTCGCTGATGTTTAATGTTGTTTTAACATCGAAAGCGAAATTAAGTCCAGTTGCTGTGAAATATTTATCGGCAATGTTAGTTTCAGAATTCAACATGATATTAAAGAAATAGCGATACTTTGTCACAGATATTTATTAGAATTGAGAATTGTACGGGCCATGAGAAAGTATTGGCATTTCTTTATTTCAAATCTCGATAACCAAGATATTTCGATCTTTGAAAACTAATGACAACTCGGATATATGCACGGCGAAGAATAAGATTATAAGCTTCGGAAAGATGGAAAGATACATGGTAACGAGCGGAAATGCGGAAAGTGCGGGTGGGTGGGTGGGTGGGGGGGGGGGGGGAAAAAATGCGGGATTGAACGCGAACTTACGCTGTATTTCCTCGACGATGAGTACGACACCATTCTGCTGTCTGTCGAGGGTGACAAGGTGGCGCGAGTCCGGCGATACCATGGGTTTGCCGACGAGCTCGGGCTTATGCGCCCGCACCGTGTCCGTCAGGTAATCCAGGAGTAATTGGCCGGTGGCGCGGCCTGTTATTGGCTCCTCGCACTGCAGTATCACAAAACCATCTGGACCAAAATGCGAAGGCGATAATTAGTTACCGATCGATTCTTTTATTTACGGACGATTCTGACCTTCCGGGCCGCCCTTCCTTTATACCGCCATTTTTGCGTATCATTGGATTACCGTGGATTACGTGGATTAACATGGGTGCCAATTAAGGTACTATTGATAATTTAGGTCGGGTCGTGCAATTCTCAAGTTAAGCCTGAACATTACGTACTTTTGAGGAATTCCATTATTACTGGTAATTGACAAAGATGTGTAAGAAGCCTACGCAACCATAAAACCGATAAGTGTTTAGACTTACGAATTGTAAACGCATCTTTAATTTTCTTTTTGATCCAAGTACTTAAATGAAATTAGCTTTTTAGAGTAATGAGTAGTTTAATCAGGAAAGATAATGCTAAATATACAAATTTATTTTTTTGTTTTGACTTTTTATGTTAAGATAATTGCTTTTATGTCGACAAAGATTTTACAAAGATCTCTTGCTGTTAGATCTTTTATTATTTTTTTTTTATTTAATCTGATTTGATCAATGAAAAAAATGCATATAGCATTGACGTCCAAATCGGGTATCCAAGTTATAGAATAAAAAAAAAAAACCTCTTGAAAAACATTCGGGAAATCAAAGATTTTTTTCATTTTTTTTTTTTTTTTTTTTTTTTTTTTTTTTTTCATCTAAAGATTTGGAATTAAAATTACAGTGTAGAATAAAGATTATCTTTTTAGAATGTAAACAGACATGAATGGGAAGAGCAAGCCCGCATTGTGGGAATTCTGATTTAATGGAACAAGTTGAAGAAAATGTAACCACCCACAATTTTCCAACCCACATCTAAAGTTGGCGAAGCTTTGAAGTGAAGGAAAAAAAGTTCGTTTCTCATCTCAAGTAGTTGGAAGCACTGTACACAAACTGTGCGGTTAATTGTCCATCCGCGCTCACTCATACGCGAACGCACACGCGCCCACTAACGCATGTACACGTTCACTTATACACTCACTCGCAAGCTAACAAACAAACAAACAAACAAACAAACAAATTTAGGTACATACATACTTATATTAGCACCATCGGTACGAACAGAAATTCAGTTATAACGCTTTTACCCTTTCATTCAAACTCGGACGGAAGTAGTTTGGTCCGTTGCACTCGGAAAGTTACCGGTGGACATCATATCGTCCTCGTCGCTCCTGCACGAGCAAGGAATCTGATTTACTTTTTTTGATACAATATATATATATATATATATATATATATATCAGCGTGTACGTTTAGCATGGAATATAATATATTTTGCTTTTTCCGTTTAAAGTTTTGCCGCAGCTAGATAACGTAGACTTTTGATTCAAGTTTGATACTGTTGCTGAAAATTGTGAAAAATGTGCGAAACTTTAAAGAAAAGGAAGGAAGGATTTGAAAGTTATTTTTATTTGTAGGGCGTGTAAAATTGTAATTTTTGCGCGTTAAATAACGTATGCCACATAAATTATTACTCAAATGAGAAAAGTTTTTTTTCCTAGTTTTAAAGTATCAGCGCTCTGTTATAAAATTAGGTAAATCGAGGCGATTTTATAAATAGCATGGATTTCCAAATATTCAAATACTTATTATAAGGAGTAAAAACTTTTTGCGCACTAAATGGCGGCTAAAATGCTTACAGTTAATTATCAAAACGAGGTTTGATCTTTCTTTCTTCATTTTCATTGTAAATGATTAGAGTTGGAGGAGTTTATCGCGCTTCCCGTGCATCATTCTTTTCATACATTAATTGGAGTAATGAATAAAGCTCGTGATATCGCAAGCTCTATCGGCTCTACGCGAGACTACGGAATATTTGCTAAATTTACAACATTTTACCGACAGTGATATGAGTGAGGGAAAGGGAAAGGGACATTTTTAAACTATTATCGCGGCCTATTGGTCAACTGCTTATTGGAATAAGCAATTGCTCGCAAATTGTATCGATGTGGAGTTAATTATGAGAGAGTCGCTGTGTAACGATTAATCGGCCTCACACTCAGGCACAGCCACAGAGCCTTCCCTTTTCATCTCGGCGAAGCCTCGAAAGCAGATTCAATCTCGGAATTGAATTTCACCCCAGGCGTGTAAAAGCACACTAGGAAAGATTAAGAGCGCCCACCATCACTTCCCATTGAAAAGGACGAGTTTTCACTCCGGATAACTATCAAGGCAAACCGTCGGGCATTTCCAATTTTCCCATATACTCACAGAGGGCCGGGAACTGTATGTGTGCTGGCACGCAGTTGTACGGCGCGAGGTCCGCGCTGCGGGTGTACCTCATGTTGGCCAGGTCGAGCTTGTACATACCACGCTGGTTCGTGTGTGTGACGTAGCCGTACTTGAACACGTGGCCGATGTCCTGTAAAATCGACGACTCCCCTCGTTAATCGAACATACGTCGCTACACATACCGAGCTTTTTCTCTCCTCGTTGTCGTTGGTAATTCGTACTTTCGCGGGGGGGGGGCGGCGTACATCAATCCAACGTGTGTACGATTAAATTCGCGCGTGTCGTTTGCTCGCATAGCACGGTGCATCCGCGTACGAATGAATTAATTAAAAAAAGGAAAAAAAGAAAAGAGGCGCTTAATTAGTGCGAGTAGATGACTGTTTGGAGCTTTGACACTTATTTCTCGTCGGCGCAACGGAGCATGTTAGGAGTTTCACGAGGGACTAGCGTTGATAATATTATATAATAATATAACGCGATGAACTGTTGTCAAATCGTTAATTTTATCCATTAAATTTGCGCGAAAAAATTTTTGAAATAAGCATACGAAGCTATAATTTGAAATTCAAATTCTTAATTTAGAAAATCAAGCAGAATTCTAGACGAACGTGTAAAAGCAAAATGTCATAAAATCTTTGACAATTATTGATAATCGAAGAACTATGAATAAATAGTAGCGATTTTTTAAAAGACGTTAAAAACTTTTTAATCAAGGTCATTCTATTCCAGTCACGAAAACCTCGTTGGATATTCCATGGCAATCGGACGCATTTAAAAATAATCGATGGATTAGCAGTTATTCGACACGCATGGCGGACCAATTTATTTTTCTTTTATTTTTCTTTTGTTTTTTCCCTATCCGCAAAATTATGAAATGCAAATTAATGGAGGAACTGTAGCGGCTCTACCTGACGTTCCGGGATATACAGGCCTCGCACGAGATCAAACTGCCCGTCAATTGGCTCCGGATGAACGGTCCTGTGTTTCTTCTTTTGCGCCGCGTCTCTGATCACTTGTATCGTCTTCACTCCCGCGTCGCTCTCACTCCGCCAGTTGAGGACCCACACTTGGTCCAAAGCCGGCACGTACTGGAGCTCGACCGGGTACTTGTCCGTTGTCACCACCTACGATCGCCCGTAATGTTTAAACGTCTCATTCGATCATTCTTACATTAGCGCCAACCCACGCGACTACTTCGGTAGAATAAAACGCATGGATCGTTGCATTTTGCCGTACCGCGGCAAAATCCAAGATACACGCGAATCTTGCCGGAATCGACTGTGCTTCACGCACGCATTTGCCAAGTACAAAATTATCTTTTTAAACATTACCGATAATAAAGAGAATTAGGACAATCTTACATCCACAACGACCATCTGTATTTTGCTAATAACGAGAATACGATCCTTTTCCGGCTGCGACACATAGACGTAGCGATTGGCCACGTTAATCGCACGTCCCCAAGAACAAGGCACTCCTTTTTCAGCACATACGTACTCCTGTATAGAAACAATACCAAGGTGTTATTGCAAATAATATAAATACGAATTCATATTAACGTATGTTAATCGCCCCATTCCCATCCCTCTTGATAATCGATATACTGATATTCATGCGTTAATATTGTACTTTACACGATAATATCACGTAAAATACTTAAAAATCCATACTCGCTTATGCATTATGAATTACCCATTACCTTCCTTTTGAGCTTTGATGTTCTATCAATAACAGTCCTTCATAGCAATTAAGATGTTTAAACGCAATCGAATGATTCTTGATATGTCTAATTATTTGGTACATAGAACTGTATTTTATATTTGTAAATACATTTGTCAGTTTAGGAAATCAAGTTGCAATGATTTTTTGTATATAATTTTTTAATTCCTTATATATATGACCAGATAAATATGACCAGATAAATGTTAATACAATTTATACGGTAATAGGTATACGTGAATTTTTGGATTTTCAAGCGAAGAGCAGTACTGCGAATGTACAAATAAAATCACAATTCTTTGTCAAATTCTATAGCGTATGCGAGTAAAATTATATATTAGGAGAAATTTATATTAATGTACAAGTATTATAAATACCTGTGTTCCAGGTATAATATCAGTCGACTTGATTTGATGATACAATCGGCAAGCTGATGGCTCGTATACTGATATTCCCCACTCGTGAAAAGAGAAAAACCTTCTTTCCTCACTTGGTGCGGCTGTGAAAATAAGTCGCTAATTGAAAAGTATTGTTTATGATTTAAACAACTGTGTTCTAAACAAAAGCCAAAAACAAAAACAAAAAAATAACTAAATACTTGAGCAGAAATTAATTGCATTAAAAAGGGGCTGTGATTAACAATTTTTTATATTAAATAAATTGCTGTTTTCTCTCGATGATTCATCTGATAAATTTCAGTGTATTTTCCAATTAGATCTAATTTTCTCGAGTATAATTAACTCTTAAATATTCAAGAATTATCATTAGAAATTCCTTTAACGATTATTCAATTTAGTATGAAAATTTTAATGGGATTTATGAAAAAAGAAACTTGTGCTTGGCTTTAAATTATTTTTAAGTAATACTATTTTTTCTAAATTTGTATTAATTTTAATTCTTCAAGATGAAAATTTAATTTGTTAAAATTTAATTATTAATATTATTCGATCATTTCGTGTCCGCGTTTAATTTATACTTCAATGTTTATCATTTTCGTATCTTCCATTTTTCTTTTTTTTCGTTTTTTTTTTGAATTCTAATTAAACTTCACTGGAATAAAAAGTTCACGATAAAATTTTTTTAACTATCTGTTTCTTTTATCATTCTTTTCGATTTCTTTCCTCGTCTATCTGCCTTGGTGAATATAACGTTGACGATAAATCTTGACTTTAGTTTTAAACAAAATCATTTCTTTCGATTTTTCAACCGCTATCTTCCTATCTTGTATATTTTGTTTCTTTCTACTTTAAAATAATCTACATTACAATAAGCGCATAAAAAGTTATTCATTCCTTTGATTATATGAAATGAAATGATTGTATAGTTTCTAGAGACAATGTTGCCAATCACTTGAACTAAAGCAATGATACACATATTCATCTAAATGTTCATGGAAATAACATTGTCATTATTATAGTATAAAATAATTTTTCAGTAACAATTATTGGAATTATTTACTTAATGAATAATTTTTCGTTGGATAGCGAATTGTATAAAGTAATAAGTCTTATCGAATCAATATATTTTTCATTACTTTAAATACTTTTGTTCACTTTCGACTGAAAGGTTATAGAAAATATAACGTATACAATCCGTTAATAAAAATAAATTGAAGTAAACAACGAGACTAAAACAATAAATTTAATAATTCAATAGGATTTTATTAAAATAATATTTCATTCTATTTTTAAAATACTACGATATTTTACATGAATGGCAGTTTATTTTATATTTTTTTATTATTATTCTCTGTTGTTGTTGTTGTTGTTGTTGTTTTTTCTTCTTCTTTTTTTGACAAAATAACCATAGTCCTTTTTTTTTTATTAAAAAGAGTTTCATCTCGTGAAAGAAATTTTTGTCTCCCTTATATATAATGTCATGTTTAAGATTAGATCGACAATGCGATTATTCTGTTTAAAACATAACGATAAAATAAAATATATATCAGAATATATGAAACAATATATATATATATATATATATATATATATTATAATTAATGAATTAATGAATTAATTGAAGCGAATAGTTATTGCGTTATTAAACAAAACCGAGATTACAAATATAATTAATTAATGGGAAAAATGTTTATATGAGATTTCTTGAAACAGGAATATCGCTGATAACGTTGTAGTTTGGAAAAATTGTGCCATATCAAAATAACAATAAAACTCATGTCACCATCACCACAAGTTGAAAATTCGAAAGCCGAATGTTGCGTTGATCCGATTGAGTGCATTGAGCGCAAAAACGCGGTCAAATGAAATTAATCAATTAAAATTCACGTCCCTTGTGTATATTGTTCATATACTAGGAAAATATGACAATAAAAATAATGCCAGAGTCGATATCTTTAGTTGGATTTTTGTTTTTAGACAATTATTCCGTATATTCTTTGTTTCGCATATTGACACGTAAATGAAATTATAATTTATAAAGGGTTTTTATTATTTATTTAACATAAGCTATTGAAATAGCTTTAAATTCTTCATGAATTTATTAAAGTTATGATTTATAAAATGAATACTACTACCATCTACTGACCTCTATGATTTATGTTATAACGTTTACTTTTTTTTCTTTCATCAATCAATTTTAAATAGGTTTGAAATTTGAATACCATAATTTAAACATATTAATATAAATAAATGAATTGTTCTAAGCTTATGAACGATGCTTTTTAGTACTGAATTTATTATTTGGTATTAAAAATTTTTTAATTATAATTAAAAATTGTTAATTGGAAATATGTATATATATATATATATATATATATATATATGTGATATAAATTTATATTTCCAATTGTAATATTTTACGTTGTTTAAATTGTATTAAAAATAATTCAATTTATTGACAGTGAATGTGTAAATGTGCTTTAATTTGATATCTTTAATAGAATAATTTTAAATTTAATTTTTCATGGACATTAGTGTATTAATTTTTATTTTTCTATTATTGTTGATTAGTTTTTATTCCATCAAAATTAAAATTTTATAGATAAACTTAATATTATTTTGGTATCGATGTTTTTTTGCCATTTCTTAGCAGCGCTAAGGTCTTTTGATATTTCAATACGAGAAAAATTAATAAATACGTTACTTTTTATGCACGAAGCATTTTAAATACTAATTATTCATTAATTCACAAATGTGAGAAATTAATTTAAAAGAAGAAAAAGGTAAATGTGCCAGTAGTTCCAAACTTATTATTATTCAGTGAGTTTAAAGAGGCTGAAATATGTACTTGACATTAAACATACTTTAACGAATTGCACGAAAAAAAAAAAAAAAATTGTTTACAAAATATTTACCAAACGGCATATCTTTTATGTAAAACAGGATATATATTCCGTAATATGAGTAGCATTTACTTTTGCATTTACAATGCAGATCACATTTATCATGTGTGTATACATAGTACTCGAGTTTCAAATTCATCTGCAAGAATACCAGTGACCCTTAGTCTACAAGGGTCCTCCCTCATATGGCATCCAAGATAAAATTCTCCCGCGAGAATAAGAATTCCAAGTTAAAATGAGGGGCCAATATAAATCGGGGCCACGAGTAAAGAGGACGACTTACTGGGTGTGGGCTGCTCCTGGACGATGAGGCTACTAATGTCCCGGGTGACGCCGCCGACACTTGTCGCCTGGCACATGTACGCTCCGGTGTCCGCGTAGCCAATCGCTCGAATGGCCAGTCTCGTGCCGTTACCTACGACCTCGAATTTGTCTTCGTCGCGCTGCTGCTGATGCAGCGGCTCGTCGTTCTTTAACCACTCGACCCGCGGCAGGGGCTCACCGACCACGTGGCAGCGCATCGTCGCCTCCTCCCCGGGACGCTTTGACTGCAGTCGCGGCGTCACGCGCACCTCCGGTATCGCTTTACAACGACAATTAACATTAAAGGTCGGGCTAATGGAGCTCTCACTAGGTGGTGAAGGAGGAGGGGTGAGACGTCGGCCTTAGTACTTTGTTCGTGTACTCGATGACGATAAAGTCGCGCACTTTTAGTGGCCGTCAATATTGACAGATAGATTAGGTTCACTTTGGAATTGTTAATGGAATGACATCAGGCTGAATTATAATATCGTTATTATGGATGAAATCTCTTTTATAATAAATGAAGCAATTAATGCGTTGATTAAATTGAAGGATAAAGTTTGAATAATGTATTGGATGAAGATTGGATATATAGTAGATTGAATTATCCGACGTAACGAGCACACTTTAATGTCAAATGAAATTTAGAAAAATAAAAAGCGCAGTAAATGGCGATAATATAATGGCATTAATTAAGACTCGATAAGAGTTGAAATAAGTAAATATATGTGTAAAAAAGTAGGAAAATTGTGAGCGATGAGGATCGGGTGAAAATTTATTGACTCATAAGGTAAGGAAAGCTTTAATTAGAAATAGGAAGTAAAATGATGGATATAAAAGTGGGTATTAAACAAAGTAATGAGATAAGCGGGATAACGTTAGACGATGTTAATTTTTTTTTTGCGAGACAGTGGATCATGAAGAAAGAGAGATGTAGTTAGAGAGAGAGAGAGAGAGAGAGACAGAGAGAGAGAGAGAGAGAGAGAGAGAGAGAGAGAGAGTGTGTCTGAAAGACAGTGGGTGGAAGGGCGAAGGGGGTGGAGGAGATAATGGGGAATGTCGTATACTCACTGTGTACCGTAAGGACGTGAGTTTGAACGACGTCCTTGTTACTCAGAGCATGGCACGTGTAATTACCAGCATGGACGAGTTGCACCCTCGTCAAATAAAGACTACCGTCGTTGAAAATTCGTATCTGCAACAGTTTTAATGTCTATTCCTTTGTTTTTCGCAACTTTCCCGCCTGTGGCCGTTGCACGGGAACCATATCTTTTAAGTTTTATGGGCAAGTTAAAAGAGTTTATCTAATAAGAGCTAACCAAAGAATTAAAAGTAATCAGTAAAAGTACTTCCGAGGAAGAATCATCGTACTCTATAAATTTTCATTGTCAATGATCGATAATGGTCTCTTTTATTTGTGATTTAGCACTATACAACAATTTTTTTTCTACATAGAATTTTCCTTAATTTGTATTAAATTGAAAATAATATATATATATATATATATATAAATTTTTTCTATCATATTTAAATTTATTCTTTAAATTTACTTCTACAACGGAACTCTTCTTCTCGAAATTTAATTATATTTTTCATTCACTTTTTGAGTCTTTACCGTATTTACCGTATTTAGTTTGGCAAGTAAGATTATTTTAAGAAAATAATCTTCTACTAATAAAAATGTAGATTCGATCGTGAATAGTCATTAATTAGGCATTAACTATTCAATAAAAATGCCGAATTTTAAATGTTAATTAACTTTTCAGTACTGTAAAAATGTGATGATATACCGTTACTTTTATTATAATAATTTTTATTATTTGTCATTGATATTTTCAAATAATTATTACAAGTTATGAATACAACGCATTCGTTTATTAAATATATTTTAATTGTTATTTTAGTTATGCTACTGAATCATATTCATAATTAATATATTTTATTATAAATTAGTTATTTTTATGCAAATGTAAATGAATATAGAACGTAATTGATAATTATCGATTAGAAAAATCTATCAAATCATTAGTATTTTCATGCTTATCATTGTCAACAGAACTGTACGTTGGTAGGACTTGCTTCATAAGAGAGCTGGTTATATTATTTATTACCGTCGTTCTTCCTTTTTCATTTATTTCTCATCCTTTTGTCTTTTGTTTTATGTTTTTAACAAACGCGCTTCAGCTCTTCCGTAATTCACCGTACGTAAAAGAATTTATTAAAATGCCATAAGGCCAGGGGCCAATTTCTTGAACTAAGCACCTGTCGAGGCTGCTCGATAAGTCAATTTTTCTTTTTATCGTGGCAAACCCTGGATTTCATGCACTTGGCTGCGGCATTATTTCAAGCGACAATCTCGTACATCCCCCTCGACACTCGGTCGATCCATTCTGAATCGGGCGCGAGGAATAGGAAAAATACTCGAGTAAACAGAGAGAGTGAAAATAAATTGTTACTCGGGAGATATCGCCATTACGCCATTGGCGATTGTGGGCGGAGGGGGGGGGCGGGTGGGTGACGTGCATGGTGCTTACCTCGGACTCGGAAAGTGCCTCCAGATCGGCACCGTAGCGACGCCAGACTAATGGCGGCGGTGGCGTACCGGTTACGTCGCACTTTATCTCGACGTTGTCGCCGACGCGCGCAGGGATGTGATTGATTTCCAGGTTCTTGTCCAATGACACAACCGACACACCTGCATATCAAGATTTATCGTGTAAGACTTGGGCGCGACCCGAGCACGAGGCTTAGCTGCATATTGATAAAAGGCGAGGCTGTTAATTCTATGTACGCGTTTCGAGACGATTGCGCTTTGAATTTTGCTGACGAGTCGTCTTAATCATGAGAATTTAATCAAATCTGCGACTAAATATTTGCACGAGTATTGTTTTCTGTTTTTTTCTTTTTATTTTTTATAAAGCATCTATTGATTTGTCATACTTGTGTAGGTGCGAAACTTCCTTTAAAAAAACATTGCATTCGACAATTATGTCGTAGAATTTTTTAAATAAGCTTTAAATAGTTAACCAAGTTGCAAAGTGCTGAATATTAATGTAATTTTTATTCTACTTTTTTACTCTTATTTCGGAGATGAACTATTTTTCATTTTTATTTTTTGTCATTTAACATTTTACATTGTCTATTTTTTTATTTTAAAGATTGTATTTTTAATTTGCTGTTTTATTCTAAACATCCAATTTAAACATTAAATAATTAAATTTAGATGAATAAATTTTTAATAATTCTAAAACTCTTGGCTTCTTCGGTCTATTATTGTAATATATTTTATTAATTTATCAATCATCTTCTTAAAAATAAAATCTTCATATTTTATATGAGAAAATAGTATAAAAATTTAAATGAATTTTAATACACAGATGCATACATACGCACATATGTAGCTCAGAAATAAAATTATCATAGGGTTTAATATACATATATATATATATATATATATATATTAATTAAATAAATTTAAAGTATAAGCAATAAATTTAGTTAATGAAAGAGTAATATTAATTAAATAATATTGTTATATAATTTTGAAGTATTCTAAATATGTAATATTTCCAAGATAATTTAATTTTACTATCGAGTATACTAGTTTTTTTATTGACAAAATTTTTATTTTCACTATTTTTCTTTTAATATACTGCCTGTTTTAAAGAATAAATTTTCTCTTTTCAAAAGTCAATGTATAAATACATATTTTATTCTCTCTGTCTTTCTCCCTCTTTCCATACAGACACACACTTGCACTATTTAACCTTATTTTACCACATATTTTGCATAGAAAAATTACCAACATTTTAATGTAGTTCGTTCTATATAGCATATTTAATGCTAACTGCATTAATTATTTTTGAATAAATAAATACATTTTTATGTAGAATAAAAAAGATAAAGATGCTGCAGTAATGCATGAGTACTTTTAATAATATAAGCAATATTAATATAGATAAATAGAAATAAAAATATTGATGATTTTTGAAACACACTATTTTAGAGATATTAAAAAGAGAAGAAAAAAAATACACGTTTGTTTATTAGTAAGAAGCGTATGATTGACTCCGATTGGCATAAAGTAGGAAGAATGTAAAATTATCGGATTTTGTCGCTCGGGAATTGTTCGGTTCAGCCTCGAGATGTCGACGAAAATGAGCAACACTACAGTCAGTTTTAAGCGAATAATAGGAAAATAATAGGTTACCATGTAGCTTACTGTATAGCTTGCTGAATGCCAGGTAAAACTCATTGATGTTGAGCCTGCCATCCCTATCGGCGTCGTCGAAGCTAATCATGTGCCCGAGCGAGCAGCCTTTGCTCAGTTGCTCGAGGTCCTCCCTCTCGGCGATCTGCTCCAACTCGTCGCGCTCCAGGTTGCCGTTGTTGTTCTGATCGTAGTGCGAGAACATTATACTGACGAGGTACTCTTTGCTATGGTTGTCTTGGGCCATTAGTCTCGCGTGATTGTAGAGCAGCAGGTTGTCCTGCGGCAGGTAATAGTCACGGCTTTTGAATAAATTCAAATTGCTGCTAGGGCATTCATTCGATATCGCGTCGGTTTTGTTGTGAAAAGAATCGCTAGCTCGCGGATTTATTCGCGAAGAGCGGGGCTTTGACAATGCAATTTTCACGACTACATGGGAATTACTCCTAGGCACGATATCGCTTTTACATCGTCCATTCAAAACGAGAGTACGACGTACTTTAACGCTCTATAACGCTCCATTTGTCTTAAATTACGTCAATATAAATAATACGCAAACCTTCATGATTTCATATTCCTGTGCCGAGCAGTCGTCGACATCATAATTATCGTCTATGAAATTGTCCTTGCCATCATATTTTAATTGATTACTTTGTTGAATGTTTTGTTTGCTGGTTGGTGGCGTTGCATTACCAAGTGGTAAAACTTTTGGCGTTTCATGATGCTCATCTATAATACGAAAATGAAAAAGCATTTGCATTTGTAATGCATCGATACATTTAGAAATATAATCTATAAATAAAGCTTTTTCTGGTATTTTATAATCGTGCATTCTCCGATTGTAATGGTAATTTTCTTTTTAATCGAAACATTATATACTATACCCGCACATTGACATGTATTTGTATTTTTAATAATGAAGTATTAATGGGCGCAAAGTGCTCTTAAATAATTTTCATTTACGAACTAACTTCCCATTTACGCATAAAACTTATCGTTTATAATATAGTTTCTCTGATGGTGAGTTGATCCTACAATCGATCCATTAATACGAAAGAAACTCTACGTAATGCAATTACAACTCTTGCATCCTGCTTTCGCTAACAAGGCATAGTTCACTTATTGCTCAGTGGCAATCTGCGACAGCAATCCCAATGTTTGATGCAGACTAGTTCTAGACGCAACGAAAATCAAATCCAAGAAGAAATTGGTAAATATTTATTTATCCGTTAGTTTTGTTCCGGAGGCACAGCGAGTTTCGAATCCAGCATGAAAAATTTCGAGCATTGTACGCTCACCAACACACGTACAACATACATTTTTTACGTAAGCGTTAGTGGATGCGAATGCGTGTCTGGCAATAAGGAGAAAAATCGCGAGTGAGCCGAGCCCAGACGGGAGATTCCACTTACTGCCCACCGTCCTCGAGATCTGGGTCAAAACCCGTGGAAATCCGGCTACCGCAATATTTCGCCAACCGGGGGATTCCTGAGGCCTCGTGACCTCTGTAACACATGAACGGTGACTGTGAACCCTCGACGTTACGTACTTTGCCCCGCATTTGAGAGATCGTCTAATAATTATAATTCCGAATGCGATCATTGGTTATAAATTATTATCAATATCGCAATCCTGGATTTGGCCAAATCTAAACAATTTTCATCCTTTCGACATTATTTACCGTTTTACAATGAGTCCGTTGTCAATGCTTATTGCTATGCGTCTGAATTTAATGTAAAATCTTTGTATTTCATTGCCGTAAATTTTTTACCTACTTTAGTCCTTACTTGAAGTATTAGTTTTCAAAATAAGCTACTTAAGGTATATTATACAAATGTCAAGTATATTATTATTATACAAAGTATATATTATACAAAGATGGCAACCTAATTATCGGGGCATCAAAATTAAAAGTTAGAAATTTGGTTGGTCGAAATATTTCTTAACGAGCTAGAAACATTGAAACCATAGAGCATTAAGAAAATTTAAGAGTTCAATTCACTGGATTTTACTCAATTAATTCGTCAATTATTATACAGAAATTAATTTATATTCATTGTTGTTTAATCATATTTATTAAAGTATTTCTAATCGATTTTGACAATGCGATTACAATATTAATCTTCCGGTTACGACAACAGTATCAGTATTTTGACTAATCATAAAAAGTGTGGAGAGGCCTGCCAATTATTATATTAATGTCTCTAATGAATTAAAGAAAAGTGTTTGAATACTTAGCTACAAATTATAATAAACCAATAAAATTAATGTTTAACTAAAAAACAATCATATTCTATTGGTAAAATCGAAGAATTTATTAATATTGCGTTTTCGGAACTTTTTTTTTCTTCGAAAGAGCTTTAAATAAACTCATTAATCATATGAAAATGTAGACCTCATTATACACGTTTTATAAAGTCAAAAGATCTTAAGATAATAATAATATTTTTTTTATAAAAATTTTTCGTCCCTGCAGCGTTGACCGAAGGTGTTTCTTTGAGGGAAAATTTGCATTTCCCTTCGCTGAATACTCAATACAAATGCCAAACATATATATATATATATATATTTGGTTTTTTTTTTTTTTTTAATGCAAAGCACCTGTTGAGATGCCTGTACATGCAAGAACATAAAAGATCTTTCATTTATGCCATTTTCGTAAATGACATTAAATAATACTGACTTTTGTCTTTACTTTTTTTTTTTTATCATATTCCTGAAGATGTGTAAAATCGCCATAATGACGTAGTAATGATTTTCAATAAATTTTTTTGGTGCGGTAATATGGTGTGTGAAATATGTTGAATTTTTTTTATTATATTAGATATAGTATATAATATCTATATTATAACTGCAATATGAATTAAAAGTATCGCGATTATACCTCGGATAATAAAGATTAAATTTTACTGAAATATTCGGTTAAAATTTTTTTTTTTTTTTTTTTTTTTTTTTTTAAAAAAATCTTTATTGCATAAAATAGTTTTTGTAAACGAGCATTTTTCAAGATAGTTGGACATATCGAATATAATTTTCAATCAGGAAGATTTAAAGATAAATAATCGCAGCTGAATTATATATGATTATTTGTTCGTTGAAATCAATAATTCGATTATTGAATAAAGTTCGAATGAATTTGAATATTTTGATATTTTATGTAATCTAATAGCACCGATGGGGATTAGGAGATGTATACAGCAAAGTACAATGTAAATTTTATACGAAACTCTCGGTTAGTAAGGAGTACGTAGCGGTAGAGACCTCGGGTATTAAGAGCTTAGCGAAGTTCTGAAAATTTTCATCTCTCCGTAACATTGGAGAGGAAAAAGACGAACTTCCCTTTATATTGTGGCGCGTGCACTCCAGCGAAATGAATATGCGCGTACGCGTTTATGGGAAGAGTTAATGCGTCAGGATGTTCACTTGAATCTCGTAAGAGCGATCGTTGGGCCGCCTTACTAATTATCCCTGTCGTGGTATAATTACAGACGAATATTGCGTTATGTATATTGAGGCGAGTCGGTGACGCTAGGCAAACGTGACTGTCGCAGCTCATCATCGGGATTCGATTTTCAGAAACGAGGAACGTGAGCTGTTGCTCCTCTTTGTGGTCTCAATACGTGATAATTAGATCAATTATAATCGCACAGCAATTACTTATCCAAGATATTGACTTTATTTATTTCAGGGCGTGCATTTTTTGCATTGCTACGTCTCATCTTTAATTTAATTATTTTGATATTTAGATCGAGGATGAGACGTGTAAATATGCCTTAAACGTTGTAACGAGAAGCAGTAAGAATATATATATATATATATATATATATATATATATATAATAAATTGAATAGATTTGGTTATAGAGTATAAGGAAAAAATTTCAATAAGGGAATCTATTAGCGTTTCCTTACTTTGCAATTAATTTGAATGCGAACATATTCTCATTTTGTATTTGTGAAATTCACGCTTAATTAGAAGGAAATTGAATTGCAATTATTACAAATTATAATATTATAAGAAACGCATAATTAGGTATATTAATTTATAAGTGCATTAAAATTGAATAATTAATATTTATCGAGTGAGTGATATACTCGTGTATTACGGTTTGTTTTCCATAAAACATAATATGAAAGAATCGGTATAATATACTGTAAAATATATTTATTTGACAACTCGAACAATTAAATAAAATAATTAAAACAATTAAAATAATTCAAATAGAATACGTTCGTCTTTAATATTCTATCGGTAATGAATTTTGTAATAAAGCTTACAAAAATAAATACTGAATATACTTATAATTAATCACATTGATTTATCATTAGTTTATTATAAAAAATTTTTTAATACAAATTAGCAGCGGCTTTCATTCAAGCTTAAAGGAATTCAAATCAGATATAAGAAATGCGATTTCTTGTAAAATATAAAAGGTACGTTTTGTATCATTTATTGAATTTTTAATAACCAATTATAATTTTATATATGGCAAACGTACAATAATAGCAGTAATAATAGTGGCAGAATTTGGAAGAAATTAAATTGCATCACTTTCGATAGTTATTTTAATAGCAAAGCGAGGCATACATTTAAATAATTATCAATATAATGGAAATTCGAAAGTATGGTAGAAGTAAATTATAAAAGTCTAGAATTCTGTGATTCGGAGGAATTGGCAAATTCGTGTTAATGCAATATAATTTCCGAAATATTCATTAAAAATTAAATGCGAGCTAAAATTGAAAATATAGAATACGAATAGAGTGGCTTCGCGTGTAAAATAATATTGAGAAAAAAGTTATGGATTTACTTGTATCCATTGTTAAAGAACGCGGTGATAGGCGTTAATGGAAGTGAAATGTAATTAAAACTTTAACATTAGCGTGTCAAAGCCCGTACTCGCGTCTTTTAAGCCTTTGCCTCGTATACTGCACTTTGAACGCGACTATTCGACACATTTCTCCATACGTCCTGACTTTAATAGTTGACGATATTGAATTAAATGTGAAAATCGCATTATAATTATTCCGTCCGACCAATGAGATATGAGTTCACTCGGAATTACACATGCACTCGATACACACGCGCGCGCGCTAACACACACACACACACACACACACACAAAAAAACAAACACAATATTTATATATATATAATATATATATATATATATATATAATATCGTATACATATATAAATAAAGGGTATTTCTAGTGCGCGCACTTAACTTTCTCTTGAGCGAACGCGAAACCATCTTCTTTGAATTGTGGTCTTGCTTGACTCTCCAGAAGCAAGTATCGAGTGATGTATAAAGTAGGTTAGTTCAATTTTGCTGAAAGTTTGGAATTTCTCAATGTTAGCTATAATTCTTTGATGAGGTACTTTTGCCTTTAATCTTTGCTTTCTTTTTATTTTATCTGTACATTACAGCTGACGTCCAGGCAATATGTCCTCAAAAAACTTTGGGAGTGCAACCCGATACTTTCCATTGATTTCAAAGGGAGATGAAATTAACAAAGATTCTTCCTTTAGATTTGGAAAATTCTAGAAAATTATAGAAAAATTCAGGTAAATAATTTTTTTTTAAATTATTTCTCGTGTCACATTGGGTAGTTTACATTTTTATAATTCAACCTATAAATACTATGACATTCATCATCTTTTCTCTACTCTTATTATTCAAAATATATTATTTAAAAATAATGATAACAAAATACAGTATCACAATAT